GTCCATGTTTGGCACTTCTTTTTCTAAAATCTGTTTTCTCAAAACGATTTGCCGGATTTGGACTCTTTGGTTCAGATTAAGAACCGTGACAATTTCGAGAGTCCTGAGCTGTAGTGAGCCCAATATCGAACGGAACGGGAGCTCACCCTCCCGGGGCGTTCGGGGACGTCTACAGTTGCATTAGGCATCTTAACATAGTTAGGATCATGCATATTTCTAACTAGCGTTTATTTTGGCTTGGAGTACTCAGTACGCTTTTACGCTTTAGCATCCTTGCATGAGTGTGAGTGATGCCATGTTTCGCATGTTTACCATGAGGCTACGTGCTTAATTGCTAAACTGCTTGAATGCCTGTGGATGAAGGCTTTGTTGCTTGAATTGGAACAGTTCAACGAATGTATGTCTTGAGCCCACTTTGCGAAGTGACAAATCATGTTTTAAGCCCATCATGCATTACAACAAATTTGGGATTTAAAGACGAAACAAATTTGTCCCAAAATGTATATATTTCGTCACCCAAACTAGTTACGACGAAATTTTTTGTCACCCGTTTTGTCACAAAAGCCTCGTCGCTAAAGGGTCTTAGAGACAAAAAAACATTTCGTCATTGAAAATGATAAATTTGTGACGAATTTTTTTGGTCTCCAATACACTCTGTTGGGAACATACTTGTAAGTAATTAGTGACAAAATATTTTGTCATTAAAGGAAGAAATTAGAGACAAAAGTATTTTGTCATAAATATAAGAAATTGAGACGAAATAATTTTGTCACGTTTAATATAAATGAAGACGAAATTTTTTTGTCAAAGAAGCTACCAATGGAGACAAAAACAAATTCATCATTAAAAATGATAAATTTGTGATGAATTTTTTTGTCTCCAGTGCACTCTGTTGGGAACATATTTGTAAGTAATTATCGACAAAATATTTTGTCATTAAAGGAAGAAATTGGGGACAAAAGTATTTTGTCATAAATATAAGAAATAGAGACGGAATAATTTTGTCACGTTTAATATAAACGAAGATGAAAATTTTTTGTCAAAGAAGCTACCAATAGAGACAAAAACAAATTCATCATTAAAAATGATAAATTTGTGACAATTTTTTTTGTGTCCAATACACTATGTTGGTAATATACTTGTAAGTAATTATCAACAAAATATTTTGTCATTAAAGGAAGAAATTAGAGACAAAAGTGTTTCGTCATAAATATAAGAAATAGAGACGAAATAATTTTGTCACGTTTAATATAAACAAAGACGAAAATTTTTTGTCAAAGAAGCTACTAATAGGGACAAAAACAAATTCATCATTAAAAATGATGAAATAATGTCAAAAAAATTCGACACACATTGAGGGTAATAGTGACAAAATGTGACAATATTTTTTGTCATGACAAATTCATTTAGCGATGAAATAAAGAATTCATGACAAAATTAATCATCCACCTAAGCCAAATAAGAGACAAAAAAACCTTCTTTAGGGATGGAAAATTTTGTCAATAATTCCATAATATTTTTTTCCACATTATATACCTATTTTATCAAAATCTAAATTCTAGTTCGACAAATATAACCCTGTTCATGGTGAAACCTGTTGAATATAACAGTTCCATCACAACTTAACCTAACCAGTTATCAACACATTTACGAATTAACAAAATGAAAATATCCATTCATCATTACAAATAATTTCATTCTCATACAATAAAATAGTGAAATATCCACAAAATATCCAAAAGTTATAACTTGTTCAATTCCACCAAGCATCCAACAATAACTAGTGCAACTCCACAAAGTATGTGTATCCTTATCAAACAAAAATGAACATTCAAGCAAATTATATCATTGTTGCACGTCAAAAATGCCACCCCAATCCAATCTGCAAAAAAATAAATTAAAAACTTTAGTAATTAATCAATTATACAAAAGATTAAAAACATTAGTAACTCATCAATTTACAATTAGATCAATTATACAATTTATCCCTCTAACAGACTTTTTTCGAGATTATGAAAACAAAAAATTAATTTTAAGGCTAATTTACAAATGATGCATCCCATTAATGCGCGGTAAGTTCATACAACTTATATTGGTCCCTCCTAAGGTGTTTCTATTGGTTCCTGTACAAATCTGTAGTTGTGTGATAATTTAGCATTTTAACGGCCTTTTTTGAAGCTTTAAGTATAGAGAAAAAAATATTTTTTAGACTAATTCACAATTTATACATCCCGTGCACCTGTACAAATTGAATGTCATATGCATGTTTCCATTACTTCCTAATTCTTCAAACATATATTCTTTTATAAAATTTGTTATATTAAAGTTAATATACTTTGCCAAGAAGTATGTCCACTTGTGGATAAGTCCCCTCCACTTCCAAAGTGTCCAGTGAATCCTTTGGTCCTTAAAAAGTTGACAACATCAGCCATTATCTCCCATTGCTTCTTCTTACCCTCTTTAAGATCTATTTTATTGTTCTGCATTTCTATTTGTTCCTTCTGTGTCTCTATTTGCATCTCAAGGCGCTTCACATAATCATTTCTTTCAGCTTATATGGTAGTGGTCCTCCTAATAGAGGATGAAGGTCTCATGCCAAGTCCCTTCACATAGCTAGACCTTGGCTTTAGGACTTTGATTGATAGCTCTTCTGCAGTCAAAGGGGTTGATGCCGGCTGTGAGAGGTGATCAGCCTGTGTCTGTATCATATTTTCCTATCAAATATAAAAAAATTAAATAATTATTAGAAAATTAAATAAGATCATAACAAATAGTATTCTAAAATTTTGTTAATAAAAATTGCAATATATACTCACATAATTACACTGAGCTTGAGATGAGATCCACTAATGTGTTTTCTCATTATAGTGAGTTTCCTTGTACAACTCTGCTAGATCAAGTAGCATCTTCTTTTCTCGTGCCTAATTCGATATGGCAAATATTCAATAAATAAAGCTAAGAATCTAACATAATTCTGAAAGTGCAAGGATATGTACCCGTTTTTCTACTCTAACAGGGATTGACCTAGAACCACATCTATGTTTTGTATACATCCTTTCTCTGTTTGCGATGTTGGCCTTTGATTGTTCCTATAAAGGAAGAATAGGAACAATGACCAATATAACAATGAAATGTATCATTAGTAAGACAAATATGTTGGCTTTTGATTGTTCTTGTAAGGAATAATGAACCAATATAACAATGAAATGTATCACTAGTAAAACAAATTTAATGCTTAATAATAAAGAAATTGCATTGTTCCTCTCTATCATTTTCCTATATATCATTTCAACTTAAAAGATATTTCAAATTATTCACTAGTTTCATTCAATTCTTTGAAAAATAGATTAGAGTACTTGTTGAGATTTCATCATAAGATGGTTTTTCTGGGTGAAAAAAGAAAAGATGAAAATGTTACTAGAAATTCTTTAGTGTTCCACTTTTTATCAATAAGATCTATCCACTTGGTAGGATCAACATTCTTCGGTGGGTGGTTTCTTGAATACTCCTCCCCTTTAGCCTCCTTCAGCTCCATGAATTATTTGTGTAGCCTATAGGTATGGTTACTCAATCTCCGACCAAATTTTATGTTCATTGCCTTCTCTATATCAATAGGGTCTCCATGTAAATCAAATTGATCCTGCAAAAAATAGATAAGTCATAGATAATTCTTATAAAAAATAAAATAATTACAATAAATAATTAAGATTTCTAATCAATTATAAAAATGAACAAAATGTCCTATAATAAAGTAGACAATGAACTTACATTCATGCGTTGAAACATCACCTCCTTAACGGAGGCCTCAACATACTTCCACCTAAGAACACTTGGATTTGGCAAACAAGTTCGCACTTCTGCACCAATCTTTGAGGCTAGTTTTGAGGCATAGTCCCCTACCGGTGCACAAAATTCTGGAGGGATATGTACGCTAAGCTTTCCATCTCTATCAACAAGGCCTTGAATTTCTTTGCCTCGAGTCGAGCCACGAACACACTTAGCAACTGATATTGTGAAGCCATAATATTGAAGTAGTATGTGAACAAATTTAATTAAGATCTCAAATCAATGTAAATAAAGAGTGTGTCTTACCAATAGTATTACCAGTAATCACCTCAAGTTGAGGCTCCACATTGAGAGGTGGTGGCGGATGGCTAGCCACCTCAGGACGTGAAAAGGTATCCCCCTCTTCTGATGCGTAGGTCAATGCCTCATGATGAAATTGTGAACGGGCTCTCGATGGTATCTCTAATAGCTGAATAACATAATAAAATATGAATATATGTAGAAAGATATACATGCCTATGTGTGTATGAATTGAAAGTAACAAGAAAGAATATATTTCACAATGCATAAATGTATAGTACCTCATGCTCAAACGAATCATAGGATTCAGTGTCACTGCCATCTTCAGCCTCTAACGGTCGATAATCATCGTCATTTTCCTTAATTGGTATTTGTTTTTCCTTCCTCAATTTCTTATGTTGAACCGCAACCTTCAAACAAGTTGTTATATTCTTCACTCCTAGAGCATTCATTCTCTCACGGTTTTTATTAATATTCTTCATTCTTTGTTTCTTATAGTTCGTTACTTTCTTAGTTGCGGTACTTGGTTTGGTCAACTATTTTTTTGTAGTGTCCATTTTGCCCAACTATAAAGCATAATTGAACATTTTTTTGGTGGATACACATAATTGAACATTAGATGTAAAGAAAAGATAATTATATATTTCTATACATAAAGCATAAAGCAACAACAATGTCAACAAGTGGATATGTCATATAGGCTCTAAATCATTGAAATATGGCTAGAGTGAGATGGATGATTTTTGTTTTTACCTTTTACTTATCATAGAACAAATTAATTATAAAGCCATCGGACACATAACATGACCAATCAACGATAAACCTACATAACAGTGGATGAACCCCATAATTGGAATTCAACTGCATTAATTAAGAACAATGTTCACATAGAAAGTGAAAAATAACTACAAATCCTAGTCTACATCAAGATCCATATCGTAATCCACATCAGGTTCGTCACACTCTTCATTTTGTTTGTCAGCTCTATTCTCTATCATTGTTTCATTAGATGAGCTAACCCTTGTAACAACTTCTGCTTCAACACCATCTCTATAACATTGAACATTAGGGCCGATGTCAGTTGGAACAACATCGGTAATAGTTTCTTGTTGGAACACAACGTTTTCTTCTGGTTCATCTATTGATTCTCCATCACCTACCTCTAGTACATCAAAGACACCCCTATGTTCCACTCGTTGAACAACTTGCCAAGGTTGTCCCCATTTGGTATCATTTAGGTAAAAGACTTGCTTAGCCTGGCTAGGCAAGATGAAAGGATCGTGTTGATACCACCGACTTGTGACATCAATACTTATGCAATAATCATCGGTTCGCAATGTTCTACTTCGACCTGTGTTTCCTGTGTTGTACCATTCACACTGGAACAATACAACTTTGTTATGACACATGTACTCTAATTCCCAAACATTGCACAAGTGACCATAAAATTCATGCGTCATTCCCTCATGATCCCCTTCCGTAAGCACACCACTATTCTGACTCTTACGGCGATTGTCTACTTCTCTTGTACAAAACCGTATGCCATTGATTATGCAACCTGAGTACTCTTTTACTAGCAAATTCGGGCCATTTGCTAACGACCATGAAACATTGGTTGCCTCTGGTGACTTTTCTTCTCTTAATATATTTATCTACAATCACATATAGCGTGCATCAAGATAGTAAAAATAAATTAATAAATGATCAAATCTTATACAAATTTTTAATCATGTCTTAAAATTGAAAATGCCTTACCCACTCTTTGAACCACTTGGGAAACTCTTGTTGTATACGGGTTATCTCTTGGTCAGATGGAGTCCGTAATAGATTTTTGTGTATCCTACTCAAAAGAATGTGATTATTATGCATTGCTAACTACATTAACAAAGCTAAGAATACACATATTTAAATGAAAAACATACTCTAGATACTTCTCTATCTCGGGGCTATTGTTCAACAAGAACCAATGTGCCATATCACGATATTCTTGTGCCATATCAGCATCCCTTGTGATTAGGCCAATAGGACGGGCAGTTTCTGTGAATATAGTCAACCCTTTGTGACGTTCGCCACGATCTTGATTTCGTTCAGGTCAATTATGCACTGTTTTGATCCCATCAACATACATTGAACAAAAAGTAATGCACTCTTTGACAATGTAAGCCTCTGCGATTGAACCTTCTAGTCGAGCTCGGTTTGTAAAAAACTTTTTTAAAGCTCCGAGAAACCTTGAGAAGAGAGTTAGTTAAGAGCAAGGTTACACATGCAACATGTAATTACGAACCTTTCAATTTAACAATTACTTTTCAATCTGTTCCATCCATCGATATTGCACCGGTCCTCCAAGAATAGCCTAACGTGGCAAGTGAACGGCCAAGTGAACCATCACATCAAAGAAGGTTGGAGGAAAGATCTTTTCAAGCTTGCATAATGTGTACTATACGTTCTTCTAATTTCTCAAGTTCATTACAGCGCAGTGTCCTTAAGCACAAATCCTGGACAAAGCTACCTAACTCAAATAGTGTTTTACTAATCTCTTTGTCTACGTAACCACACATCCCAATTGGAAGAATCCATTGTATAAGTACATGGTAGTCATGACTTTTCAAGCATGTTAATTTACCATTTCTCGCATTCATTGATCTTGATATGTTTGCAGCATAGCCATCTGGATACTTCACTGATTTCAAGAATTCAAAGAAACCCTCCCTCTCTTCAGGGGTCAATGAAAAGATTGCCTTAGGTTTGACATAAGTTCCATCAGGACGACGTGTTAACCACAACTCTTTCCTTATGCCCATATCTTCCAAGTCCATTCGTGCTTTGTCGGTGTCTTTGTTCTGTCCGTCAATACCTAACATAGTTCCAAAGGTATTTTCACTAAAATTCTTCTCGACATGTATGACATCAATGTTGTGCTGAAGCTTCTGTTTCTTCCAGTATGGTAACTCATACAAGATGCTTACCTTTGTCCAATTTGGTGCCTGACAGAGTCTTTTCTTGTTTCTTGCATGCTTTCCATATGTGACACCTGTCACTCTATCCAATTACTCTAATAGCTTTTCCACTGGTAACTCTAAAGATCTCTTTCACTTCTCATGCTTACCATTGTAAGCCTTACTCTTTCGCCTTTCGAGGTGGTTTTGAGGCAAGTAGCATCGATGGTTAGTGTATGCAGTCTTTCCTTTCAAGGATTGAAAATATGGTTCATCATTGCAAGTGTAACAAGAATAATGACCATTTGTTCTCCACCCAGATATGTCACCAAATGCAGGCCAATCATGTATAGTCCACATCAAAGCTGTACGCATCTGGAAAGACTTACCAGTTACGGCATCATAAGATAATGCACCATTTTCCCACAACTCATTTAACTCATCCACCAGAGGTCTCATGTCGACATCAACATCGATCCCTGGTTGTGATTCTCCAGGAATAAGTAATGACATCATAAGAAAGAGATCTTTCATAACCAACCAAGGTGACAAGTTATAAGGAATGAGTACTACAGGCCACAAACTATATGGGTTGCTCATGTTCTTGAAAGGATTGAACCCATCAACAGCCAACTCTACCCTCACATTTTGAGGCTCCATGTTTGATGGCAAATCCGCGCTTTAACCCACTTGAGGGTGGCAAATTCAAACAATTTTCGAAAATAAATATGAATTGAATTTGTTCCAAGTCTTGCGACTTAGTCTATACTTGCTTGTATGCGTCACATAGTAAAGTTAGCTAATATCCGGAATAAGAACACAAGAGGTTTCTAAAATAACATATCATGCTTAGTAGAGGCCGATCTTTGATCGGGTGAGTGGGGTGCTCATTTCAGGACCTTCCCCTCTCGTACCCAAGTTCCTGAGTTGAGGCAACTTCGGTGATTGTAGACACCCTATTTTTGATAGACCTCAAGACTTAGGCATCATCATTTGTGCATTCGATGATTGTGCTTGTTTGTGCTTGTTTTGAGTGCCTAAAGTTCTTGGCGGAACGCCTTGTCTTTGAGCCTCTAAACCCTCATTGTTTTGTGCTTGTTTTTGGACTAAACCTTGGTGCCTCTTTCCTGGAGGGAGGAAGGGCCTTGTCGGCCACTTTTCCCCCTTGTCGGCCACTTGAAGTGGTCGGTTGGCTAGGGGAGGTGGCCGGTCGGCCAATAAAAGTGGCCGGCGGCCATTTTTCTTATTTTTCAGATATTTTCTTAGCTAGATGTGCCAGCTGTTATTCACTGAATGCCACCTCCATACACGTGTATGGAGGAATGAATGCAAGCCCTTGGCTTGATTTTCTATATAAGGGGGGGTCTCTCCCCCATTTGGAGGGTTAGAGATTTTTGTGAGCAAATTTTCTCTCTCTCTAGATTTCTCTCTATCTCTCTCTCTCTCTCTCTCTCTCTCTCTCTCTCTCTCCCTATTTTGTGCTTGAAAGTGAGAATTCTCTTCACTTTTGCACTAAGACCCTTAACTAAACATCTTCATCTTGGAGCTGAGGTTCTTTGAGATTTATTTGGAGCTCCTAAGGGTGGTTTGAGCTCAGAATTGTGACTAATTTTGTGCTGTGCTTCAAGAGGTAAAGGACTTACCTTGTAGGCTTTGTTTTTGTCAATTGAATTTCTATCTTTTTACACTATTTTCGGCCTGGTTTTCAACTACAAAAAACTCTGATTTTTGTGCCTTAACATGTTGGTTTGAGGTCATTTTGTGCAAAGGAGTAGTCCACCCTTCTTATTTCCTAATTGTGAAGCTTCTTGCATCATCTTTTAGCATATTTAAACCAAACCTTTTGGCCCTTTAAAACAATGAAATTTATAGTTATTTCAGTGGTAAAAAGTATGTTTTGAAGTCCAAAAATGGAGGGGGTAGCCTCTCCTCCTTGTGTCTCACTTCCATGCCTAGTTAGCATCCTATGGTAGCATGTTTTTATGGCTTAACGTAGCTTAATTCAGGCATGTTTTAGGCTTTTATTTGACATGATTTAGCTCTGTTTTGGGCTGCTTTGATCATATGAACCATGTTTTGCATAGTTGTAGTGCAAATGCCTTCACTAGTTTAGTGTTTTAGGCCTCTAAACATGTTTCGCTTGAGATGATTGCATGTTGAAGTGTCTTTTTACATGTAATTTCAGTGTTCATAGCTCTGTCACATGCTCATTTGCTTCACTCTTTTATTGCTTTTTAGAGTTGCTCTTGAGTCTTGTTTGTAGCCTAACATGTGAGCATGTTTTTTTTACCTTTTTGTGCCTTAATCTCAGCAAGTTCTAGCCACTGTTTTGGCATATTTTAACTCTGTTCTGAGATGATATGATCAGTTGAGCTTTATATTGCATGGGTATAGTGTAGTGCTCAACACTAGTTTAGTGTTTTAGGCTTTTGAACATGTTGTGCATGAGTTGCTTGCATGTTGTAGCATCATTTTTCATGCCATCTCAGCACTGAAATATCTGTAACCTCCCTCATTTCTTCATTTTTCCATTTGTTTTGAGGGTTGGTTAGTCTTAAGGTTGTGTTTAAGCTTGAGATAGAGTGTGTGATCAATGGTTTTAATCCTCTTTTGAGGGTTTCTACTAACCAAAGGCATGATCTCTCTCATGTCTTAAATCATCCTTTGGTTGACCCCTCTCTCATTAGAGGACAATCACCTTGGACTTAACCAATTAAAGAATGATTCGGTAATGTAAAATGCGTAAATAAAACATGACAAGTAAAACATGAGCAAGTTAAGCATGTAGTGTTGTATTGCATGTGTTCGGATCAGACATTAATCTGAACACAAGAAAAATGGGACGTTTCATACTCAAAGTGATGAAACGTGTCACTTTTTCTTGGTCACCATTACCCTTGATCATGCATGAGAGGGTGGTGGTTCTTCGAGTCTTATTCGTGCATTCATTAAGCTTGTACAAGCTTGACTCTTTGGCCATCATGCATTGAAAATGCTTGATTGTCGGCTTGAGAGCCAAGTGCTACACTCTTTTGAGCTTAAGAAATGATAAGGAGGGTAGCAGTACACACATTTCTTGAAAAATGCATTTCTTTACCTTTATTGCTCTCTGTTGCAGCAAGAACAGAAGTTTAGAAAAAGGGGTGGCCGACCGGCCAGTTGAGGTAGCCGACCGGCCACTTAAACTAGTTGACCGGCTAGTTAAGGTGGCCGACAGCCACTTTTTGTGGTCGACCGGCCACCAGTCAATTTTTGCACAAATGTGTTCCTATGTTAGAGCAGAGGCAATTTGGAAGTTGGTACAATATTCAGAGATTAAATGAGTGCAAATAGAGGCAACTGATGGAAAGACGGTGGATTTTCGGGAGGAAGCCAATCGAGCATGCATGTCTCCCTCGCCCTCGAGTCCATTTAATTGCTTTAGTTAGTTAGCATAGCTGATTATTCAATTCATTTTGTAATATTTTAATTAGCTTATCATAGCTAGTTATTCAATTGTGTTGTAATAATTAGTTAACTAGAATAGTTAATTAGTTTCATTTTGTAAATAGTTAGCTTAGCGTAGCTAGCTTAGCTTATTCATTCGGACCCTCCTTCGCAAGGGCACAGTGTTGTAATAAGCGTACATGTGTGTGTGCATGTCTTCCAACCCCACGTCTTTCTCTCTTTTATTTAATTGCTTTCGATGGTTAGATTACGGTCATTTTCAATTAGTATACCTTATGCTTGCATGTTTGCATCCATTCATTTGTCTTGCATGCATTGAGGCTCGGCGCATGATTCAAACTGCATTGTCAATTCAATACCTATTTGAATACGTGTTTCAAAGTATGTTATCAAATTGTATCATATGGCATATTAGTAGCCGAGCCTATTATTTTCATTGCATGTGTTGCATTAGACACTTAACATAGTTAGGATCATGCATTTTTCTAACTAGCTTTTGTTTTGGCTTGGAGTACTCGGTAAGCTTTTACGCTTTACCATGCTTGCATGAGTGTGATTGCCATAAATACCACGTTTCGCATGCTTGCCATGAGGTTATGTGCTTAGTTGTTTAACTGCATGAATGCCTGTGGATGAAGGCTTTGTTGCTTGAATTGGTACAATTCAACGAATGTATGTTTTAAACCCACTTTGTGAAGTGGTAAATCACGTTTTAAGCCCATCATGTTTGATGGCAAATCCGCACTTTAGCCCACTTGAGGGTGGCAATTTCAAACCATTTTCGAAAGCAAAACATGAGTTGATTTGTTCCAAGTCTTGCGACTTAGTCTATACTTGTATGCGTGCACATCACATAGTGTAGTTAGCTAATAACCGGAATAAGAACACATGTGTTTCTAAAAACAACATATCATGTTTATTAGAGGCCGATCTTTGATCGGGCGAGCAGGGGTGCTCATTTCAGGACCTTCCCCTCTCGTACCCAAGTTTCCAAGCCGAGGCAACTTTGGTGATGACGGACACGTGGCCTTTGGCACGAGTCAGGGTTTCCTAAATTTCCCAAAAACAAAATATTTAGGTGGTGACTCTGTAATCTAGCAAACCAGTCCAATTTTGGCATTATTTGATTCAAAATCGATTTTTCAAAATGATTTGCCGGATTGGACTCTTTGGTGTTTATCAGTCTCATATTGCACTTTGTGAGATTAGATTCAAAACCGTGACAGGAGTCGGAACTGTAGGACTAATTCGAGCTCTCCGAAAGGGGGCTCGAAAAAGTTAAGCCCACAGTGATGACGGACATGTGGCCTTTGGCATGAGTCAAGGTTTCCTAAATTTTTCCAAAAAATTAAAATATTTAGGTGGCTACTCTATAATCTGGCAAAGCAGTCCAGTTTTGGCATTATTTGATCTAAAATCAATTTCCAAAAAGATTTTCCGGATTGGAATCTTTGGTGATTATTAGTTTCACATTGCACTTGTGAGATTAGATTTAGAACCGTGACAGGAGTCTAAACTGTAGAACTAATTCGAGCTCTCCGAAAGGGGAGCGCGAAAAAGGCGAGTCTACAGCAGGCACCTCCAGGATACACCAAGGATTTACTGGAGCTATTAGCTTTTTTTCGAGGGCATGATCTTGAGGAGGGAGGCACTGCTTGGCTTCCACAGTATTCAGGTATTTATTCCAGGCATGAAATTTCCCATGACACACGGACACTGACATTTCAACTGAAAATTTTCCCACGTTGCACAGATACAGTGCATCTGAATTCTACATTTTCATACTGTATTCATACTCTGTACCTGACCTCTGCATGTACTCATTTTGCACACCATACTTGCATTTGATGGACATACTATTCCTGACATATACCAACTGCCTTTTCAGGTCCTACCTTTATCGACAACACCGGCGGCAGTAGTAGCAGGACCATCAGTTCCCCCTCCAACAGTAGGAAGAGAGAGACTAGCTCCAGTACGCAGCTGAGGTTGAGGCAAGAGCGCCCCGAGCTGAGAGTGGCCCTTCAGAGCCTCTTCTGAGTGAGGATGATACTGTGACCAGCGAGACCGAGGAGGCAGCGAGTCAGCATGCTGAGTCATCCAAGAGCGGAGATGATGACGCTGGCTTGGATTCTGCTACTGGTGATGCTGATGCCGATGCCGATGAGGGCTCCAAGGCATAAGGGGATGATGACTCTGGTTTTGGTTCTGAT